TCTAATAACAAGATTAAGGAATATAAATATTACTATAATATATTTATATATATACTTTAAATTATTCAAAACAAGATTTATTATACCTTATATATATATGAAAACTTTAATTAAATGAATTATTTATTAATAAGCAAATACTTCTATAAAATTTGCTGTTTTATACTTTTGATAATCTATATTCATTTATTAATATAATATATCCCAATTGATCTAAAAAACTCTAATACTTTAATAAAGTTTCTATACAATTTATACAAATATAAATAATAACAATAATAATAATAATTATAAACTTAAGTATTTGCCGATTTTGATTCAAAAAAAAAATATATTATTTAATTCTGTTATATTAAGGCCAAACTTAAATTTTTTTTTATAGATTATTATTAAATAAACAAAAAATAATTATTATTGGAAAAAAAACAAGATAGATATAGAATAATCTTCTGATATATTTAATATTAAAACTATTTCAGTAATCGGAATAAATGTTATTATTATTCAGACTAGAATTATTGAATATATTATTAATAATATCAAATATTTAGATTTTTATAATAAAATTAGATTCGAAAAATACAATAGATTTAAAACCAAAACTTGGGATTTCCTTTATTCAAATACTAATAAGAATAATAATATTATTATTAAAGAGTATGAATTCTTTTGTCACGGGTTCACCAAGCGTGACTATCTATACCTACTTGCACCTACCTATCCTACCTATATCTACCTACACCTACCTATACCCACCTGCACTAGTCATATGCACACTACCTATTCTTAGTTAGCTCGAGTAAATGCCTGAGATATTATCACGGGGCTGGTACGGGTGCTGGTGGGAACTAGGTAAGATGTATAATATTCGACAAGGAGAGAAGGAGGCATACGGAACAATGCCGACTATATAATGAATAAATGCCTAAGGCATCTATTCAGGTTAACTAAGAATAGATAGTGTACATGTGACAGGTGCAGGTAGGTATAAATAGATACAAATAGGTATAGACAATCACACTTGGTGAATCTGTAATAATATCTCC